TTGTGTTCATTTGGGGGTGTCATGTTGTCTTCATGTTTCTTGTACTTCAGCATTTATTTTTAGGCATTTGTGGAAACACTTGTTGGTTATCTCCTCTGATGGCTTTTATCTCAGAACTATGCCTTTGTGGTTTAGTGGAGTGTCTGCTCCTTCACTGCTCAGAAGTGTGTGCTGGGGGCGAGGACAGGGAGCTCAGGTCAGTGCTGAAGGTTGGAGTGAGAATCCAGGGTGACACCTACGTTGGACCTACTAGATCCCCTCTATTTTCAGCAGGGCAGAGGGTATGATCACTTCCATCGGTGTAATCACACCCTCACCTCTTTGCCAAGGTGATCAATGCCCAGTATTAGCCCACATTGGGCATAACCCTCACTGAAGTTGGCACGTGAACCACATAAAGGGGTTTGTGCAGACCTCAGTGTGAGCATGGAACCCTTGGCAATGATCCACTCCAGGTAGTCGGAACCTCTGGCTCCAGACAGAGTGATTGTCCAGAGACCCAGCTACACCCCATGCCCAATTATGAAGTCACAGAATTCTCACAATCACAGCTCTGAAGGCTCCCATGATCACAGGGTACAGTGCATCCCCTCGCAGCCCTGAAAACCTACCCTGTCCACGGAGAGAGAAGTGATGTCCCCAGAGCCTGCTGCCTGTGGGTGCTCTGCCTTAGAAGTTTGAGCCCTGGAGCCTGTGATAGGTTGAGAGGATGGGGGCATCACCATCACAATCCTAAGTGGGTGCCCAGGACCCATCATCCCTCCCAGCCACACTCAAAATCAGTGGGAAATGCAGACTTTTCCCCTCTGGTAAAATCCCATGGTTGGTGTGCACGAAGAGCAGCCACAGCCTCTCCTGGTATCAAGATGGCACCTTCTCCCCACTGGTTGTCGGGCTTCCTTGTTGGGGAAAAGGGAGAAAAACATGTGCTTTTCCTTCCCTGGATTAGGTGGGTGCACTGCCCCTGATAGGGCTCTAGGCCGGATTCAAATTCGGTGTGGTCCACACGGTTCTCCCTCACGCAATATCCACAGTGGCATGGGCTGCCATGGGCTGCCTTCACCTTGCTCTCAGAAGCTGGTGTCTCCTCCAACCCCCAGCTGCAGATGTCGTGTCGTAGTGTCCCCTCTGGCTGCTGTGCGTCCACTCTTTCCACACCGCTCGATGGCATCCCGCTTCTTTCTGTAGAATTTCCACTGCAAACTTCTCTCCAACTCTCCCCTGAGAATACACTTCCTCCGCTTTTCTTCTGCTACCCTCCCCTGGTCAATGTCAGCACATCATTTTCCTATTCAGCAATCATGGAACCCAATCATTTTTCAATAATGCTTTCCTCTGTGCTGTTTTTTCTGTCTAAAGTCTCTTACTTTCTTCCTTGTGCTAGCATTGAATTCGTTTCTTCTTTTGTGGTTGTTTGTATTATATACATACATCAAAATTTTGATTTCAGATATTTGTTCTTTACTATTGTAGATGTGTGTGAATATAAATTGTCCTCTGGGCATTACTCTCGCTGTACTTTTTTCATTGTAATTCATCTCTAAGTATTTTCTAATGTCCTCAGTGATATTGCTTTTAACCCACTGGTTGTTGAACTGTGTGTTGTTTATTTTCACACATTTGTGAAATCCATTTTTCTTTCCTCTATGGATATATAAGTTCATTGTGATTGGTGAAGATATCTTATATGACTTCTGTCTTTTCAAGTATATTCAAACATGTTCTGTGGCATAGCAATTGAGGGGTTCTGGTGAATTTTCGTGTATACGTGAGAGAACATGTGTATTCTGCTGTATGATTGAAAGGTCTGTTGAGAATATTTGCATTCTAGTTTTGTTTTGTTCAAGTACACCATTTCCTATTTGATCTCTTTCTAGTTGTTCCATCCCTCATTGAAAATGTGGGATTGGTGTATCCAAGGATATTGAGAAATACCTATTTCTCCCTTTACTTCTATCAGTGTTACTTCATATAGAGCGGCTCTATTGTTAGGTGTGTTACCGTCTGTAATTGTTTTATTGTGTTGTATTTATATAAAAGGAACACATTTCATGTATTTTATATGTACAGTATTAAGTGCATAATAATTCCCAACCTACACTCCCTCCCCCTTCCTTTATTTTTCTTATTTTTTTTTCAGGGACATACTTTTAAATTAGTTTATAATCATAAGTGTAACTCTCCACGAAATAATGAATTCAACAGGTACTACATAGAAAACCGCTGTTCCTCAAATGGACATAAAAGGGACATAAACTAATCAAATCTCAACATCAATTTCACTCATTTTTTTCCATCCTCCGTATATTAATTATCACAAACCAGGGAAAACATATGGTAGTTGTCTTTTGGGGACTGGCTTATTTGACCAAGCATAATAGTTTCCAGTTGCACCCATCAAAAGTTTCTGGTTGCAAAAGATAGGATTTCATACTTTTTTATGTCTTAGTAGTATTCCATCGTGCATATATACCACAATTTCTTGCTTCAGTCATCAGTTAGTGAACATCTGGGTTGGTGCTGCTATAAACATGGGGATACAGATAACTCTTTCATACACTGATTTCACTTCCTTTGGGCAAGTTCCCAGAATGGAATGGCTGGGTCTTTTTTTCTATCTGAGAGGGAGATTTCCCCATATTCGTCTTCATTCCCCGATTGCCCACAACATCCAGTGTTGAACCAGCTGATATGGCACGTGGACATCGTAATCAGTGTCTTAACCAACAGGGCAAATTCTCACTCCATGTTATATCTTACTAGTGCAATAATTTTTTCAATATATAAAGTCCTTCTTTGTGTCCTATAATCATTTTGGTCTCAAGCATGTATTATCTGATGTTAGCATAGCCACACCAGCTGGATTTTTCTGTATGATATAAACATGCATGTCCTATTCCAGCCTTACTTTCAAACCATTTGTGTATTTGAATCTGAAGTAATTTTCTGTAGACAGCATATGATAGAATCAACTTTTTGAATATTTATTCTGTAAAATATGTGCTTTTTCATTGGAGAGACAAATCTATGTACATTAAAATATTTATGACATAGTTGAATGATTTGTGAATGTGAATATTTTAAAATTTACTGCGCATGGGTGAAATGGTCATTTTCCCATTCAACTATTGGTTATAGCTCTTGTCTACATTCCCACTAAACTAGAGATTTTTTGCTTTATAGTTGTTAAACTTCTTATTCAGAGAAGTATTAAGCCTTTTTAATGCAATGTAATTTTAAAATATATTACCTCAAGAACTAAAAGAAAGGGAAAAGGTAAGGGGAGGAGGGAGAGATGGAGGGAGGGAAGAAGGGAATAACATTATGCCCTTAGAATTGTATCTACAGATCACATTGAATCTGTTAAAATGAATTACGATTAATTTTTTTAATCTAAATTATGATACTACTTTTGAAAACTTGATGTTTGTTTTCTGTTATGTCTTAAGCATTTTCTCCTCCTTATTTCCACCATTACCAAGTTTGTAAAAGTTTAGTTGAAATTTTGTAGTGAACAGTTTTAATTCCCTCCTCCTTTTCTTATTTGGATGCATTTGGGATACTTTGTGTACATATTGGTGATACTCATCCTAGCATAATTAGTATAGGAGACAAAGAAGGACATTATGTATTGATGAAAAGCATTGTGTCGAGAAGGCATAACACGGGGTGGGTATTTGGCCTATTGGGTAAGACACCAGTAAGGATGCAGACCCCAAATATATATAGGAAATTATCTCAAATATGTTAACATTGGAGTTAGATATAACATCCTAAATTGGTATCTATTTAATTTGAGTTGATGCTACCTAAAATGGTGTACAGAGAGTCTACTCCTTGTCACAGATTATAAAATCTTTATATATTGCATGTACAAAAATGTACATTTATAATTATTTTTGTATATTTTTCCTTGAATTGTACATGAGATAAAAAGTAGAGCCATGGAAGGGCATTTGGGGTAGCCCTGAAGTCACCTCTTGGGTTGCTCAGAGGGGAAGGCCCACATGGTTGTAGCCCAGATTGTGTTCCTGGCTCCACAGCATTTGTGGGGAGAGCCAGCAGGTGGGAGCTCTCTCTTTCTCTGTCTCTGCTCCGTTCTCGTTCTGCCTCTCAAATAAAAAATAAACATATGGGCTTCAATGTGGTGTTAAAACCCAGAAATACAACAATACTGGCTTTTATACTTGCCATGCAGTTACCTTTTTATTTCAGTCTTTATTTCTCATATTGCTGAGTTTGGGCCTCTTGTCCTTCATTTCAGTCTTGTTGAGAATTCTCAACTTTGTTTCATATGAGCATGTTTTAATTTCTCCCTCATTTTGAAGGGTCCCACTGTTGAGAGTGCAGTCCTTGGCCGTTAGTTTTCATTAAGCATTTTAAAGGTTTTCTATATCCCGGCCTCCATGGTTTCCAGTGATTTAACCTTATTGAGGATCCCTTGCATGTGATGAGTCTTTTCTCTCTTGCTGACTTCATATTTTTATTTTGTCTTTTAAAATTATTTATGTTACTTAATATAAGTGAGAGTTAGAGAGCAGGAGAGTTAGCATGAGAGTACTTCCATCGGCAGCTCACTCCCCAAATGCCTGCCACATCTATGGCTCTGAAACCTGGAGTGGGTAACTTCATCCAGTTCTCCCATGGCAGTGTCAGCAACCAAACTACTTGAGCTATCTCTGCTGCCCAATAGTGGCTGCATTAGCAGGAAGCTGGAACCAGGGGCCCGAGCTGGAACTTGAACGCAGGAATGCCAATATGGGATGGGGGTGTCCCAACTGGTGCCTTAACCATTAGGCCAGACATGTGTCCCAAACTTTGTCTTTTTCCAATTTGAATATAACATGTCTCAGCATGGATCTCTTTGAGTTTATCCTGGCTCAGGGGTTTTGTACCTCTTGGATGTGTACACTCTTGGAAGTGTACACTCATGTCGTTCCTCTAACTGGGAATTTTTTTTCAGACTTTTGTTTCTTCAAATATTCTTTCTGTCTCTTTATGGCTCCCATTTTTATGTAATTTGAATTATTAAAGACCTGATATGCTTGATAGTGTCTTATTGGTCTTATTTATACTCCATTCGTGTTTCCTTGGTTTTTTTTTTCTTTCTGCTCCTCAGACTAGAAAATCTCAATTATGTTCCATTCAAGCTCACTTACCTTTTCTTCTGCCCACTCATATCTGCTTTTAATCTTTTCTAGTGAACATTTTACTTTAGTTTTTTTTTTTTTCTGGCTCCAAACTTTCTGTTCGCTTCCTTTCTGTCATTTGTGTTTCTTTATTGACATTGTCATTTTGTTCAAATAACGATTTCCTGATTTCCTCCAGTTCCTCTATGGTTTAATTGGGCTGTTTCTCTATCCAAAAGCGTGGCCTCAACTTCTGTCCTTGTGGACAGTTTCTAATAATTTCTTATACTTCTGGTAAAAGAGACGTGCTTTCTTGTTTGCATGACACACGGCTTCTTGTTTAAGACACATACATCTATCATTCATATCTCTGCCCCATCGCGGTTTCAGGTTCGTTGTTCCTGTTTGCTGTGTGTTATTTCTTAACAAATTTTGAAAATTCTGTGTTTGTTTTCTCTGGCTACTGAAATGTGCGTTCTTTCCATCAGGGCTCAGTGTTTCTGTTCCTAAAATGCCTTACATCTGTGTGGGTCCACTTCTTAAGTGGCTAGCAAGAACGTCTCCTCTTTGCGATAGCCTTCTGTTCCTGCTTGTGTGCATCCTGCTGATCAGCCAGAGGGGAAATCTTAAGGCACTACTCTGGTCTTTCCTGAGCATGCATCCCACCTTGGACATGTGTGTGGCATTCCTGATTACAGGCTGTAAGAAAGAGGTTTGAAAGCCCATGTTACCCTGGGTGTGTCCTGTCCTGTCCCTTCACTCCTTCTCCTTTTTGATCAGTCTGTGGCTCATCCCAGATCTTCTCTGATATCCCTGGCTTCTGGGGCCCATGCTGGTTCCTGTGTGAGCTTTCAGCAAATGTCACCTGAGAAACTGCCCCAGCCTTGGAAATGCTCCAAGTCAGGCAAAACAAAGACAAGCCTCTGTGCCACTGCATCAGGGACCATCACACAAGTTGAATAGACAAGCATGGTCATTAAGATTAATGCCTGTATTGCTCCTTCTGGCATTAGCAACCTGCATCAGGAGTTTGTGTTGCTGACCTTATCAGTGGTTGCTCACCTGAAACTGGAATATGTAGGCAGGCATTTAAGCTGCAATAGCACTTTCTTAACTCAAAGCCACAGATTCCTTCTTTATTTTCCAGGTCCTTAGTTGCTGCTGAGGAGTGATCTAGCCCTGGATATCCCTACTTTGCAATTTTCAGTGATATTACCGTGCACATGGTTTTGGTTATGAATATGGGCCTGACTTGCCGAGCCAAGGGCATTCAGATGAGCAGATTCTGTTCTGTTTATTTGCACTCAAAGGTTCCTTTAACTCATTCAAATGCTTCATTAAGGTGCTTATTTAAAGATTGGCTTTCTGCAGTCGGAAGGCCTAGACATGTAACCCAGAGGCTCTGAGACTACTGGACAAAGTGCTTATCCTCCTGGACACAGGTGTCCACATCTGTAAAAGGAGCTATTTTGATGAGATCTGCTTGTCAGATTAATGCAGGCCTGCCATTCCAGAAGTCTGTCACTCTATTTTCAAAGTCATCTTAGGGAATTCCGGGATTGTTCTGAACCTAACTGGGTCACACTGTCCCCACAAGTTCATGTTGAAGCTCCATACTCCGCTGTTTGGAATGTGACTGTATTTGTTTATTATTCCTTTTACAAAGTAATTGGATTAAAATGAGGCCATTAGTTTTGGCTAGAGTCCAAGTGGACTGTTTCTTTAAGAAGGGAAGTATTGGGATTTACAGGGAACCAGCAGGGGTATTTGCGCACAGATAAAAAAGGCAGGTGAAGATACAGTGGGAAGGCAGCCGTCTGCAAGGCAAGTAGAGTCTCAGAAGCAGCCAACCCCGACAGTACTTTGCCGTTTGACGCCCAGCCACCAGAACTGTGAGGAATTAACTTTGGTTTTTAGCCACTTTGCCTGTGGGATTTTATGATAGCTTCCCTAGCACACTCATCAGGGAATTTCGTCCATCAAAATGAGCTTGCCTTTGGCCTGGGAAACTTTTAGAACGCTGCCCCTCAGCTCACTAAAATGCTTTTTATCGCCCCCATGTGGCTGCGCCCACTTCCGGCATAAGGCCATCTGGCAGACCGGAAGAGGTGGTTGATCAGGCAAGATGGCGGCGGAAATGGGCGCTAGCGTGGGTATGCGCGTGGGTTCAGGGATCCAAGGTGCAGAGGGCGGCAGCAGAGCTCTGTGTGAGGGTGCATGGGTGGCGGTGTTGTGCCTGCTATGGTTTGCGCTGAGCACGGGTGGCAGCGTGATCAACAAGCTGATCCTGAGCACCTTCCCGTTCCCGGTGACTTTGTCACTGTGTCACTTCCTGGTGCTGTGTGCTGGACTCCCACCACTGCTCCGAGCTTGGCGTGTGCCCTCAGCACCACCTGTCTCAAGCCCGGTGTCCAGCCCGCCTACCTCACCCAGCCAGCAGCTGCCTCCGCATTTCTACCCACGCTATGTGCTGCCGCTTGCCTTCGGCAAGTACTTTGCATCCGTGTCGGCGCATGTGAGTATCTGGAAGGTGCCCTTGTCCTATGCGCACACCGTCAGGGCCACCATGCCCATCTGGGTGGTCCTTTTGTCCCGGGTCATCATGAAAGAGAAGCAAAGTACCAAGGTGTACTTGTCACTCATCCCCATCATCAGTGGCGGCCTACTGGCCACTGTGACCGAGTTGTCTTTAGATGTGTGGGGACTCCTCAGCACCCTCGCTGCCACACTCTGCTTTTCGCTTCAGAACATATTCTCCAAAAAGATATTGAAGGATTCTCAGATCCATCCGCTCCGGCTGCTGAACATCCTGGGCTGCCATGCCATTTTCTTTATGATCCCCACGTGGGTCTTGGTGGACCTCTCTGCTTTTCTAGTCAGCAGCGACTTGACCGACGTCTCCCAGAGGCCTGGGATGCTCCTGCTCCTGGCTGTAAGTGGCTTCTTCAACTTTGCCCAGAACATCATCGCCTTCAGCATCCTCAACCTTATCAGCCCCCTGAGCTACTCGGTTGCCAATGCCGCCAAGAGAATCATGGTTATCATCGTATCCCTGATAACGCTGCGCAACCCAGTCACCAGCACCAACCTCCTGGGCATGATGATGGCTATCCTGGGGGTCCTCCTGTACAGCAAGATCAAGTCCGAGGCAAACCAGCAGGCCCAGAAGCACCTCCTCCCCATCACCGTGGCTGACCTGACTGGCACCCAGCGAGAGCAGAGGCTCCTTTCTCGGCAACCCGGGGGCTACCAATATGGCTACAACGTCTTAACAGAGCACTTTCATTAGAGCCAACAGAGCTTCTCAAACTCAGAGTTTCAACCCTTATGATGTGTAGAGGCCAGGGGATGGGAGGAGGCCCGGCTCAGGTTCCTTCCCCTGCCTTCCCGGCAGATTCAGAAACTGGTGACCGCCCGTGAATGCTGCTTTCACTTCACATTGCCGGGATGTGTCCAGGAATGACATGGGCATCAGGCAGACCAGGAGACTGGTCTGGGAGTTCTTCAGGTCACCTCCAGCTGTAAAGTTTCCCCATCATCCCTGTGGCTGTTTGCAGTCACTGGCAAATGTTCCCATGTGCAAAGCAATCCCAGTTAGCCTTGAACTCCTAGAACTTGACTCTGGGATGTGCAAATGGGTGCTGGTATCTGGCAGATCCCGAGGGTAGGGAAACTAAACTCTTGCCTCTGCCCTTGTCTTCTCATGCCAGAGCAGGGCACCTCTCCTCTCAGAGTAGTGAGGCGGCTCTTTAGGAAATCATAGTGATCCCGGTAATGTCTGTTGTATTTATTATCTTTTAGGGCACATTTCTGCCATCTCTTTGATGAGCTGGTAGGATGTTTCACCTTGCACTTTCTCAGGGGATGTTTTGTAGTTGTGTGTTTTTGTGTGCCTGAGTCCCCATCAGGGGACACTTGAGGACTGGTCTATGGCTCAGATATGGTTTTGTTTTTACTGCGGCTGCTTGTCTGATGCATGATGGCATTTGGTCTGTCTGTTTTAGCTTGCTTTATAAATATGCAGGTTCCAGGTTTTAGGGCAGCTGCAGTGTTGAATGGGAAGCAGAAATCTTCCAGGGCGTTATTTGTGAAAAGAACTTGCCAGAGGCCTACACCAGAGGCTAGTGTCTGCTGTGAGACCTTTCTCACTGCTGAACTACAACAAATGATGAATCATTTTGCACTGTGAAGATCTTACACTCATTGTCAGTATGCTTATGGTGACCGAGTTCTTGAACTTCTTCATTGAACTCCGAAATGAGTTATGCCTCTATTTGGATTTAATGAAATTTCTGATGTAGGGACAATGACTGGTTTTATTATGGTTTATGAGTTAAGAAATTGGATATTTAATTTTGTACACTAAGAAATAAGGAAAATAAAATGTTTTTCCCCTTTTGTCTTGAAAGATAGGCCCTTGGGAATAGCTGGACAGAAACAGCGCCCTTCACATTTATATCCTTACCATGTGTGCAGTTCTTTTTATGTGCCAGGCATTGCCCTACGTACTTTACAAATATTAACCCATTTATCTTTATAATGTCCCAGAGAGGAAGGCACACTCATCATCCCCACTGCTCATGAGAGGGAACTGCAGCCAGCAAGGGTTAAGGATCTTGGCCGATGTTCCAGGGCTACTCCATAGCAGAGATTCCACCACAAGAGTGAGATAGGAGAAACATCTTCCCCAGGCTGTTGCTGTGAGGAGTGGGAGAGTCAATGCGTGTGGTGTGGAGTGTTTCACTCTGCCTGGCACGTACGGAGCAGGGGCTCAGCAAGTGGCCAACACTGCCAGTGTGACTTTTAGTATCGGTATCTAAAGCTGAGTATCTGAAGAAGGAACACAGATGTTTCATGTGCCACCACTAGGAATAACATAGAATGGTGATACACTGACACACCAATTCCTTGAAAATAACAGGTCTGAAGGTTTATGTGCCATGTCCCAGGCAGATGTGTACATTCAGACATAAATAAGGTTTTACAATATACTAGTATATTTACTTCTCTATAATGCTGGAAGTAAAGTAAAGGGAAAAGGCATCCTCATCTCAATATTTAGTAAACATTTCCTGAATACCAGGTTAGATAAGGAAACAGTAGGAAGCCAGATCCCAAAGAATAAAACCTTTGTCCTAATTGTCATGTAAGTTTCTGCAGATTAGTTGTTGTTTTTGTTGTTGCCATTGTTCAAACAAGGAGTTTCAAAACATTTCTGTTCCTCAAAATCTATTTATATATGTGAATATTTACTGCTTTCCTGTCTCTCATTCCCACTGCAATATACAAATATGTTGTCGTACAGTATTATATAAGTTAGTCCCTGCCCTTTGAATCATTTATGTCATTTGGAATCTTGTGATTTAAAGTAACAATTTTTCTCAGCTGCTTCTGCAATGGAGCTTTGCATAGCTTGGTGCTATTGGCTCTGAGAAAATTCATTAGGACTTTACATACAAGGACAGCATATTCAGTCTGCCACGGCATGGTTTGTGGACACTTAAGCTTCAGTCTTTTAAATTTAGTTAATGAAAATTAGAGAGTTGACATTGTAAATAATGACTTACAGCCTCAAAATAATGTGTGCTGTGATGTGAAGGTGTAGCCACCTAATAATGATAGAATGCGAGCTAGATCTACCATGGAAATATTTTAACTTGCTTCCTTCAATATCTATAATTTGTGCCTGATATTTGTTATACCTATTGCATACATTATTAAGGTGGGGGCAGTTTAGCTGATAGGTTAGAGATTTGTAGATCCCTCCAAAAGTTAAGAGGCTATTTTGCTTTGGTATACTAATTGATTCAGTGCAATTATTTTTTCTTGCTGAATCTTAAAAATCTATCTTAATTTTTTCTCAACTTCGACAACAGCAAGTGGCATTTTTCCCCCCAGGAACTGTCTACATCTTTCCATATCCACATGAATTTTTCTACATACTTTTTTTCCCTCATTATGGAACAAGCAGTCATTTTATTGTAGGTCGGAATTAATCTTTTAAAACAAAAACACATTTTCCATACATTGCCCAAAAATGATTTCCCATTCCAAAGTTGTAATATACATGGTTATTAACAGATCCAAATACGTTTTTCCTATCTGTAGCATATCAGAATAAGGAAAAAAGTGCATGAACTTAGTAACCTAAAGGTAGCAGTTAATGTTTAGTATTTTATTACTTTGAAATGATCAACATATTAATGGCATCTGTTATTTAATTTAGCATGTGTTTAAGGATCCGAGTTACAGAAACTATTCTGGAACATATTTTTAAGCTGACTTTTTAAAAAATTAATTAATTATTTTTTTAAGGAATGCAAATTTCGTAAGTACAGCTTTAGGTATATAGTTGTTGTTTTTTTTTTTTTGACAGGCAGAGTGGACAGTGAGAGAGAGACAGAGAGAAAGGTCTTCCTTTGCCGTTGGTTCACCCTCCAGTGGCCGCCATGGCTGGTGCGTTGTGGCCGGCGCACCGCGCTGATCCGATGGCAGGAGCCAGGTGCTTATCCTGGTCTCCTATGGGGTGCAGGGCCCAAGGACTTGGGCCATCCTTCACTGCACTCCCGGGCCACAGCAGAGAGCTGGCCTGGAAGAGGCGCAACCGGGACAGAATCCGGCGCCCTGACTGGGACTAGAACCCGGTGTGCCGGCGCCGCAAGGTGGAGGATTAGCCTAGTGAGCCACAGCACTGGCCGGTATATAGTTATTCTTTCCTCCATACCCACATCCCCACCCATACTCCCATGCTTTCACGTCCTCCCTCTCCACTTCCTAGTCCCATTCTCCATGAAGATTTATTTTCAATTAATTATGTACACAGAAGACCAACTCTATACTAGGTAAAGATTTTAACAATTTGCACACAAACACACATGCACACACACACACATACACACCAAAAATAAAAAAAAAAAACCTGAGAACTAGTTTTAGAGTTAATTCTTATAAGAGAACTCATTGAGGACAGGGTTGTGCATGGAGAGTTAGTACACAGTGACTCCTGTTGTTAATTTAAAAATCAACACTTTTGTGTATGATGTCAGCAACCCCCCAAGGCCCTTGACATGAGCTGCCTAGGCTGTGGAAGTCTATTGAATCCACAAACTCCATCAGTATTTAGACAAGGCCATAAGCAAAGTGGAAATTCTCTCCTCTCTTTAGAGAAAAGTACATCCTTCTTTGATGGCCACTTCTTTCCGCTGGGGCCTCACTCACAGAGATCCTTGATGTAGAAAAATTTTTGCCATGGTGTCTTGGCTTTCCATGCCTGAAATGCTCTCACAGGCTTTTCAGCCAGACCAGGAAGACTTAAGGGCTGATTCTGAGGTCAGAGTGTTATTTAAAGCAATTGTCATTCTATGAGTCTGCTGTGTGGACTGATTCCCATGTTGGAACATTCTCTCCTTTTTAATTCTATCTATTATTATCAGACACTTGATCCTATTTATATAGTCACCTTAACACTTAATATGATTACTTTAACACTTAAGATGGCATTTTTACCACACAGCTTAATGGGATTTGGGGTCCCATGACAAGTTTTTAAACTTACTTAGAAGTAAGTCCTTATTATCCTTTATGTAAAGGATGTCAGGATAATGACTCAGTTTCACTAAACTCACATTTTAACTTTACAGAATCGTATATATCTCATATACTCATTGTCATATTGCTTGTTTGACAAACTTATTTGTATTAATGGAGCATGTACCTCAGTAGCCTAAAATGTATGCCTATATTGTGAGTAATAAGGATCATGAAGATGCCACAGCTGTTATCATTACAAACAGTACAAAAGCAGTCTTGGTTTTGAAAGACTGGTCTAAATCACATGAACTGGAACTTTCACAAAATTTGGGTTGGATTTTATAAAATTCATATTTTCTATACAGTGGATGTATCACAAGTATATTTTTTTGTGTTTTTTTAAAATAAAACTTCTCTTCATTTTAAGGGTACTTTATATTTATCAACACTTGTTTATTTTTAAGCCAGTTAAAAACAGCATTTCTGTGAGGGATTTCATAAATTCGTGTGGAAATAATTTTATAGGCTAGGAAAATCTCACACAAGGATAGTTCAAGAACTTTGCAGAAGAGCAAAATTAATTGATAGGTTCATTTTGTGCAGAAAAATTTTGAAATTTTCCATGAGTATGTTGATTACTCCTTATCTGCATAGATTTCCAAATATTTTTGCACCAGAATTAACTAAGGTTTTCCTTCGATTGTCCAAGACTTTTTCCTGCATGTTCCTCATAGATAAGTACCTGCATAGGTAAATACCTGCATGTCCCCATGCATGTACAAACATAGAGACCATCATGGATACACAT